CCCGTTTACTTAGTACGTTTTTGAGATATAGCAACACCGGTGATGATCACCAGTGGTGATAAATAGCAAAATTCATAAATTATATGTAATAACTACATCATAAAAAATAATAAATAATTACAAACTAAATTTGCCTCCATTTTATTTAAACTTTTGTTAATGAAACCCTTTTATAATGGATACGCTTAAAAATATTACAATTGAAATATCCTTTTTTTTTGATTGCAATTTCAAAAAAAAAAAAACATATTATAATTTTATATATTTTAAATTAAAAATAGGTCATACAAAACAAAATAAGAAAATGGAAATAAATGACACGACGAATTGTTAAATTTTTGCAATATGATCAAAAGAATATTATTAAATTTGAGGTAAGATAATTAAGCAGTTAAGATAACTTTTTCGTTTATTTGTTTAATGTACTAGACCTAAATTGTTAAATATTAATTTTCAGAAATCATAAGCAAAATAACCACTCAAATTAAAAGGTGCAAAAGGTAAGAGAGGTTGACTGCTTGGTAAAGTGGGTGGCACTCTAAAAGAACGATTGCTTACATAATCAGTTAAAGGTGACGATGTGGCAACATTATAATCGTAAAGTAATAATGGTGTAGTATTAATAGAATTAATATTTTGAAAATTAGTCATATCACCATAATTGGAATTTCCATGTCCTTGAGGAAGAAATACGCCTCTGGAGTTAGATAATCGAATACAGTATGACTATTTTGAATAGGCATACGATAGATTAATAATGTGTCATCCTGCGTAGTGCTTAATGCTGGTCTTCGATATTGATTTGAATTATTCATTATTTTAATCTTTGTTTTTGGACCACGTTTTCTGCCAGAGTTAGCGAAAATACATTCAAGATTTTGTTTCATACAGTTTGCGCAGGAAGCCTTTCCAATGCATTTTTTGTGCATCTTTCGGCAATTGGTGCATGCTTCGGCCACATAGGTGCGCGCTTTTTGAGAATACATTGGTTGAATATTTTGTAATTGAATACCAAAAATTGACGCGAACGTTTGAAATGATCTATATAATATTGACACACATGAAAAAGTTCGCTGAGAATTTGTATAGTAGATAAGAATAATAAAGTATGAGATTTCTTCACCTAATTGAAGGTCTTTGAATAGAAAAAAAATACATTCCAGCATTGAGCGATTTGAATGCTTTATATAAGATTTAATTCCACAACCTTCATAGTACAAAGTCCAGAAAATGCAATTAGATAAAATTTGTATTACGTGTGCACAGAAAAGTGAGGCGTAATAAAGAATGAACTTAAATATTCTACACCCCAAAACCATTATATGCACGGCATTCGTCGTTAACTACATTGTAATAATTAATTGTATAACAGGTCTATCCTCAGCATTTTTAACTTTGATCACTATAATATCAAATCGATTAATGGATCACGTTTTATTCTATACGCTAATATTTAAAATCTGTAATTTTTTTAAAAAAAATATATACTCCGATCACTATATCAAAATTTTGCTTAAATGCAAGTATAAATTATCATTTTAAAAAAGGACTACGTAATTTAAACCCTAATGTGAAGAGGGACTATTTTTACTGCCCATCACACAAACCTTATTTATTACAGTATTGCATTAAGGGATAATTCTTTCAATAAATATTTGTACACATAATTTCGTAATCATATAAATAAAATAGATCAATTCGGACTATTAGACTCTAACCCATTTTTTTTGATCAATAGATATTATAAAATAATAATGTAATCGTCTTTACTTGTAGATATTTTCTTGTTATACAGTATACACTTACGGAAGAATTTTATGTTACTCCCGCAGATTTTTATATTAAAATTAGTAAGAATTTGTCAATAGATTTTAATAAAAATTTGCGGAAATAATATAAAATTTTCCCGGCAGTATTTGTAGCGTCAATAATTTTTTTCCTTTTGAAGTCTTGACACAAGCCCGCAGGACGCCATTGGCGTACGACTTAACCAATTTTTTATTAAGTACTACATTGAAATTTATTGATCAGTAATTCAAATCGAAAATTATTTTGATCTCACAAGTTCATTTTTATCGGTTAGAACAAAATTTAAGACAAGATTTAACTTAAAAACAAAAAAACATAAAATTTATGAATCTAATTAAAAGGCTATACAAATATCTTTAATAAACTTAGAGACTGAATGTAGAGCTTTTTTTAAAAAAATATATGGGGTTAGTCAGTAAGAATCAATCAAATCCTTTGTAAAATAGATCGTTTAACAACTTGCGCTACATTAATCAAGTAAGTTTTAGATCACGTGAAGTTATAATATTTAGATCATCGGAAAAATTTACCCACAACATTACTATATGAAGAAATGGGGACACTTAAAGAAGAATGAACCCAGTGATCATCACATTATGTGAAATCATGGAATGACGTCATTTGTTTACT